GGCGCCGCACCAAGCGTGACTTCCTGGGCCGCTGGGTGCTGCTCTACTTCGGCTTCACGCGCTGTCCCGACATCTGCCCCGACGAGCTGGACAAGATGAGCGCCGCCGTGGCCGAGCTGGACGCCGACGCCTCGCTGCCGCCCGTGCAGCCGCTCTTCATCACCGTCGACCCCGAGCGCGACCGCGTGGAGGCGCTGGCCCGCTACGTCAAAGACTTTCACCCTCGACTGGTAGGACGACTTGCAAAGTTTTCAAAGCTGGACACTTGTGGTGAGGGAACCCAACCGCACGCCTCTCCCCAAAATGCAAAAAAAGCCGCCCTCACTTTTGGCATTAGCGAGTAATTTTATCCGTCTGTGGGTTGGGAGGAAAAGACAAAACGAGTAAGCGGTCTTGTCAGTGGTGGATTGGATCAGATGGAAAAAAATAATAATTCTCACAAAGGAGGTGTGGTAAAAAAAAAAATGCAAATAAGTAATGAGGGTGATTTAATTTGTTGCGAGGCAAAATGTGAGTTTGTGCGATGAACGAAATGTCGCAATGAACGTATTTGAGCAGTTGGGCTCTTTCTGAACCGGCAGGTGGGCCTGACGGGCACCTCGGAGGAGGTGCAAGAGGCCGGGCGCGACTACCGCGTGTACGCCAGCCGCGGCCCGCCGGACCAGGACGGCGACTACCTGGTGGACCACTCGGTCCTCATCTACCTGCTGGGCCCAGACGGACTCTTGGTCGACTACTACAACCGGCTGAAGGACAAGGAGCACATCGTGCAAAGCGTGCGGCGACACATGGCCGAGCGTGGCCGACTGCGGCAGCGCGACTGAAGGAGCAACACTGGCGCCACGGTCAAGTAAGGTGGGGCGTTTTGGCGAGATTCCTCGTTGGAATCCTTGAATGGGAAGCGATCGGATTTCACAATACTTGTCGGGAGCAGACACCCTCGATCAAATCACTGAATAAAAACTGTAAAGATTTCACGAGCTTTGTCAGGACATGTTTATTGACTGTGAAAGATTTCACGGAGCAAAAAAACAGGATGCGCGTGTTTCTGGCTTTCCAAACCGTACGCATGGGATCGAGAGTTCCCCGAGGAACTCTTCCCCCCAAATCCTTTCCAACGCTTGCTCTTAATCCTGACACGCGGACGCACTTTTCACGGCGCAGGCCGGAGCTCTCCGTGGCCGTCGTCACTGGGAGGAGGCGAAGCAGGGAGCTTTTGGACGGAAGCGGTCGCCGCCGCCGAGCAGAGTCAAGCCCATCGAGTCCACGCTGTCCTCCAGACCCGCCGCGCCGTCGATGGCCACCGTGTACTCGTTGGCCTGAAACGCACGCCAGTGCTCGCGCGTCACCACGGAGGCGCCGGGGCGGCCACGTCCCACCTACCAGATGCAGAGACGCCAGCAGGAACCGGCAGGCTTCCGAGCCGTCCAAGGCGCGCACGATGGACGAGAAGGCGCGGCGCCGGCCCGCGCCGTCCAACGCCGACACGATCCTGTCGCCGTACTCGTGGATCTGGAACGCCGGACACGCCTCCTGCGTGGGGAAAACGGCGTCAGGCGGAGAAAAGGGCCGGCCGGCCGGCTTCGGCCGTCCAACCTGCTGAAGGAGTTTGGGACGGAGCTGGTCCTCCCACTCCTGGACGCGGCGGGACAAGGCCGTCTGCTGCGCGTAGTCTCGACAGTTCCTCGCCATCTCCTCCTAAAGGCGCACGCGCGCGTGTGACACACTCTCCATTGGTGTGAGGCGTGATGTCATCACCTACCACTCGCAGCCTGACCAGGTCCTTGTAGCTCAGCTCGACTTCTGCGAACCAACATTGACAGCTCATCGGATCAGGAATCCGTCTCTCCATCAGTCATCTGCCCTCACCTGGAGACGCGTCGACACCTCCTGCTTCAGACGTTTCCTGCTCATGGTTGTCTTCATCTTCATCTGCCTCTACGCACATACACACACACGCGCGCTTCCTTCAGGCTCAGGTGTGCTGTGCACGTTTGTGTGTGCGCGCGTGTTACCCAGGAGGTGGCGCTCACCGAATCCATCGGCCGGGTCCTGTTGCTTTCCTTGTGCCTCTGCGTCCTCCACCTCCAGAAGTCTCCTCATCAGGTCCTCATCCACAGCGTGAGTGCCAAATTCTTTCCCGTTGGTTCTTTTGAGATTGCTCAGCTTGCTTTTGAGGCTACTCTGATAAATGTAGTTGAGGTCTGCGGACACGACAAAGGCTCCTGGTTTGGATTCCATGTGAGCGCAAGCTAAGCGAGCGTGTTAGCGCATGAGCGGTACCGATGCAGGTGGGTCCTCTTCTCAGCTTGCGCTCCGGAGGGTCATCTGCAAGAAGAAGAATGGTTGAGAAGGCAAAAGATGCCGGCGCGAGCTTTCAGCAGGTGCGCGAGTCTGACATGTTTGTTTGAACCAGGTCCAGAAGTCCTGCAGCGGCGGCGCAGCCTGGCGTTTCCTCTTGCCTCCGTCGTCCAGACCGGCCGGAACCTTGTGGGCCTTTCCTGAAGCCGCGAGAGGACCGCTCGTGTTCACCTCTGACGCCAGCGCCTGACTCCCTCGCCCCCCCCCCCCCCCCCCCCCCTTCCTCCAGTCAAAGTGTACCTGACTTGAAAGGTTTCTCCTCCGGCATGGCGTACGCGTCGTAGAGCGCCCAAATGTTGCACTGAAACAGCAAGTGGACAATGTCAATGCAATCGAGCGGCGAAAAGGACACGGGCGTGAGAGTTCGGTCGCCGTACAGCAGGGGGCGCCGCCCTATCTTTGGGGGGAACCTGCCTCCGCCGCTCTCCCGGACCCTGGACACAACACACCACACGGATGAAAAGATGCGGTGGCACGCTTGCGCGCTCTCACACGTGCGCCCGCGTCAACCTGCTGCCTCTCGACGTGCTCGTCTACGTCCTGTTGCGCTTCCATGGCGCCATCCGCAGGAAGGAAGCTCCCCTCTGGGTCGTCTGCCATTTCATGACTGCCGGTCGCGAAGTCAACAACACCTGACGCGCGCAGGTGGGATGGAGAAAGGTCAGAGGCTGCGCACGTCCACTTCATCACGCCGCGTGCGCGTTACCAGCATCCTGGAGAGGCGCACTGGCGGTGGAGGGCAGCGTCAGGTAGATCAAGTCCTGAAGTCCCGGCAGGAAAATGTTGATGCGGAAGTCCTTCTGGCTCCACACCACCTCACCTTTGGCACTGACAGGCACGCACATGAAGATCTGGAGCCCATCCGCTCTGGGCTTCAGAGACTCTGTGTCTCACCTGATGAGTGGAAACTTGTGCTTGTGTCGACTTTCAGGAGGAAGCAGAGACGCCGGAGGGAGAGGAACCACTTTCACCGGCTGCAACAACAACAACAGCCGCTTTGACTGAGAGCACACAGAAATGGGATGGGTGTGTGCGAACGTGTGTTTGTGTACTGCTTTGGGACTGTGTGTGTGTGTGTGTGTGTGTGTGTGTGAGAGAGGGAGGGAGAAGATCTGACCACGCCGACTTCTGGCCTGTCCACCCAGCCAGGCGCTTCAATGTCCAGTTCGCAAAACTGCAACAACGACAAGAAAGAAAGAAACTAAGTCCAGCTGTTGACATCCACGCGGCGCACTTCCTGTTTCTCACATCATCATCGGAATTGTCATCTCGCCGCGCTGCCGCGGCATCACCGTTGTCGTCGCGCGCCGCCGCTCCTTGGCCTCGTCTGTCGGCAGCAAAAACAAAAAAAATAAACGGTGAGAGCAAGTTGAAAGTCGGACTTGGATGTGTTGCTTACTTGTGCTTCCTGTCTCGGATGTAGTCCAACGTTTGGAAGACCAGATTGTGCAGCAACTCCACCTGCAACGTCATCGCCCCGGTGACAGTTGAGTCACGCGCAGGAGGCTTCATTCCCTTGTCCAATTTGATGGCCGGGCCATTCGAAGGCTGATTTCTTGCACTTCACCTTCTTGCTGTAGATGCAGGTCGAACCTTGGATGAGCAGCGCCGCCTCGGCAAAGTTCAGTTGGGTTTTGCCTTCGTCCAACGTGATGCACATCTCGTCCAGCTGTAACACACGCGCACGTGTTCAGAGCGCCGTCTCGCTTTGTTGTGCTTGCGCTCAAACGCCGTCAACCTCTTCCAGGTAGTCGTTGAGCTCGGCCGCCACGTCCATGTCCCAGTTCTTGGTGAGCTCCCGGATGGGCTGCAGCAGGTGAGCGAATCGTCTCTCGGTGGACTCCATGACCGCGGTGTGCACCGGGACCACTGCCTCGCGCTATGCACAGACACGAGAGCCAATTTCAGGGCACAGCGAGCCTTCCGATCAATTATTTCCCCTGTGTTTAGCAAGCTTTGCAATGATACCGGCCGTTTGGAAGTAGGATCATGGGTCAAGGAAGGTCACAGCTAAAATTTCGAGCCCCGTCGATACCGACCACCTAGTGGTGCATTTGCACCGTTTTCGAAGACTCATAACTCCCTTTGTATTTGTCTATGTCGAATGTTCATAAGTCTTGAAACGATCTGTAATAATGCCAGTCTCATGAAAATGAAATAAGATTTGAACATTTCCTTGCCAGCCTACAACCAGATCCGCTTTGAGGCAAACATGCTCACCGTTGGTCCAGTGGAACAAACCTTGTTGTTGTACGACTTGAGTGTGCGTGACTTTGCTAGCTTATTCTCGTTGTTGACGTGACTGTTGAAGCGTTCAGAGAAACAATAAAAAAAATTCAAAAAAGACAAACCTACATTGATGTTTTTTTTTTCAACGAAACGTAATCTAAGTTGTCAAAAAAACAAAACAACGGACGAGTTTCGGTAAACGTCAAACTTCCCGGGCGAATCTTCCTCGACTCCTCTTGCCGCTACTTCCGCTTCGCCCCCGCTTCAAACAGGACGTCCTGCCGCCTGCTGGTCGTTCTTCGCACTCGCGCCATCCCTGGTCGTTGTTTGGATTCCGAGCAGCGGCGTTTGCTCAGAAAACGTTCCAAGTGTAGTCAGCTGGGCCGCTGCCCAACAGGTTCAAGAACTCCCCGGCCGACGACTTTTTACAACGATGAGGGCGTCACGTTCGCGCCTTCATCCTGACAGGTGCATGGCCGCTTCTTGCCAACGGCGTAAACCGGTCGTTCTCAGGCCTTTGCATTTGTGAGCTCATTCAAAATCGAAACGTAGATCCCCTTTTGGGAAATTGAAGTCCTCCGTGTGAGAGTTGTGAACGTCCGAAATGGCCTACTTGAGCGAAGCAAGTTCTGCTGCCTTGTTTCTGGTCAGACACCAAAACGGCCAAAGCAGCAGCGAGCGTGGTTAGCGGCTTATTTGTTTGTTAAGTCAAGTCTGCTTTGTTGTCAAATACTGCTCGATGTGCAACATACGGCTCAGGTGAAATTTCTTTCGTCTCAACCATTTATGTACAGTGTTTGGCTCTCTGGGATTTTATTTCTTAATTTATTTTGACAAGAGTTCCCTCTCCTTGTGTTTCTGGTCGGACATAAAAACAAAAAGCACAAATCCGGAAGTAAGCAGCGTCGCCAAGAAGAGGACGAAGCGAATGGCCATGGATCCAGTCCACAAAGAAGTTCTGCGGACGCTGCGTGTGGATTTGTCCGAGCAGCTGCTGGTGTCGGACGGCGTGCTGCCTCTCTTGTATCAGGAAGGCATCCTGACGGCCGCGCAGGTGGAGGATATCTTGGCCGAGAGCACCGACCGGAAGCGGTGCCTCAAGCTGCTCGACGTTCTGCCGAGGCGCGGCCCGAAAGCCTTCGGGGTCTTCCTCCGAGCTCTCGACGACTTCGCCTGGCTCCGAGAACGACTGCTGCAAGAGCTTCGCGACCGGACCTGCACCGGGACCGCCACCGCACCGCTCGGGGCTCCGACGAGCCTCCGGGGATCGTCGTCGACCACTGGTAGGACCTCATCAGGACTCTTGAAAAAAAAAATGTTTGTGACGTTTATTTTTATTTATTTATAATTACCTCAAAGAAAAGACGAAAATAAAATGTTAGTTGGAAATAACTTACGTCATTTTTAAGATGAGAAAAGCAGTCAGTTCTAAGTCCGACGTCTTTTATTTTAATCAACTAAGCAGAAAACGATGACCGCATCCTTTTAAACGCTGGATGTGGGCGTCTTTCTGGACTGCGATGTCATTTATTCCGAATTACAGTGTGGAAATATGAACCGGAACGTCAAGGAAGCGTTTTAATCTGTCGTTTAGGGGGGAAAGGTTCTTTGTACGTCGTTTGTTTTGAATGAACCGGTAAAAAAAAGGACATTCGTTCCAAATGATATTCGTTGTGAAAGATTTGAAGCCATTCCTGCAGGGCTCGGCAAACCTTTTCAAAAGGAAAGATGGGCCGGCTCAGTTTGCATTCATTTAATGCAATGAATCTATTTAGATTTAATGACATTTATTTTTAAGATAACTTAATTTCAAATATCAAAAAAAAAAAGTACAGTAGTGTTAAAAATATATTTCATTACCAATAGCATTGTTGAACAGCAAATTGTTATCTGAGATGGCTTTGTGTGTCCAATGTTTTTTTAACGCTCTTGTCACCATTTTTTGACAGTTCTCAGATATTTTCATATTTGCTGTTTACGTTTGACCTCTAAAGGCTTGCACAGAATAGATTTGAGAATTTGTTTCTCATGAATGTTGATAAAATGCAAATGTGTTCGATGTACACGTGCATCTTCAACCCATTTTCAAATGTTGTGTTTGAGACATAGTGAAGCATTGAGCAGGAAATGGAGGGAAGGGAAAAGCGGCCCTTGGGTGACACGTGCTGTTTTAAAATTGTTTTTTTTTTTGTGTGTGTGTGTTTTGTGCCAGAGGTCGCATGCGGCCTTCCAGACCACGTGGCCCAGCAAGTCCCTTCCGAGCGTCAGCTCTCGCGTCTGGCCTCGGTGCTGGGCGACGAGTGGGAGTCGGTGGCGATGGACCTGGGCGTGTCGTCGGCCGCCCTGTTCCGTTGCCGCGCCGACAACACGCTCTGTTGTCGCGACGCCGCGCTGGCTGCCCTGTTGCTGTGGCGACGCTCGCAAGGGAAGAACGCCACAGCCCGACGGCTGCAAGAAAGTCTGCGGGCCGCCGGCATCCACTCGGCCGTCCTGCAGGATGTCATGATGGCGTGACCGAGACCGAAGCCTCATTTGGGCAGAATAGTTTTATTTACATTTTTAAGATACACTTCAATTCCATTTTGAAGGCTGGACTAAGATTAAAAAAAAAACAAAAAAAGCGGCGTCAGTTGCTGCAGCGGCGGTAGAAGTAGAAATGGTAATCTGTGAAGAGCGCCCCCCCGAAGTGATGGTCGGTACTGCAGTCGGCTTGGCCCTGTGCACAAGTTGCATGACACAAGACTCGAGTCACATGACCTCCTCCAGGACACCTCCAGTGGACCTGGATGTCTTCCACTCGAAATCCCAAGATGGTGATTCAGAAGTTGGGAATGAGCAGAAAGATTCCAAAAGCAGCGACTGCATTCAACTCCGTTCGCTCACTCCCAACTCCCTCATCACAAGCAAAAGATTTTATTGTTGTTGATTTTGAAGAGGAACAACTCAATTGGATGTAATTTTTTGGAATTGGCTATAGAGATCAGTAAAACATCCATGAAAAATTCAGATACAGTGAGTAGTGCATGAACAATTTCAGATTATTTTTGATTCATTATTTTCATGATCATTTTTTTGTCGGCAACACCGAGGCGATAAAAGTCGAGGCTTTTTTTTGTGTGTGTGTGTAAGTGGGGAGGGGTTTAATTGCTGATCTAATTTATATTTTTCAAGTTGTCAACTTGCTATCGGTGCACTTAATGATTATTTTAATAATGGATATAGTCTATTGACTCTATATTTTTTAAAAACATGTTTATGTCTCTTTATTCTAAAACAGGACATTTCATTTCAAATTGCCCGTGCCCAAAACATGCACAAACATAAATTGATGTTATGAATCAGCGACTGGTTTGGCCCGTATAGTCCATCAGAAAATCTGCAAAAATGTTGATCCTTGTGAGTTTCTAAATAAAAGACGAGGTTCGCAAATGTCTTATTTGGATTGATCACAAAGATCATCACTCAGCTTGCATGGGGGACTTTGGCAATTGGACAGTATTTACTGTCGAGAGGCAGAAATTCACAGGATTTAGACAACTTGACGTTCAAGTCTCGAAACGATTAACTAGAAAAATATAGATGTCGATTTAATTTGGTCATCTGTGGGTTGCCGATTAATTGATGAATTGCTGTACTCATTACTGTATTTGGCAATAACTCTTAGGCATGTATTCTTTATCCTCTGTGAAGAATGACTGCTATGAGTGCAGCATATGAGAAATACGTGTGTGTGTGTGTGTGTGTGTGTGTGTGTGTGTGTGTGTGTGCGCGCGTGCGTGCGCTCTTACGGCCACTGTGGATCGAAAGTGGTACGAGCTGTGGTAAAGGCGAGCCACGTGCAGCGGCCATTCGTGTTCCCCCTGCAAAGCGACAAATGCAGAAGGCCATTCAACGCTGGCCCACTGGGGGGACGGGGGGTCACCCATGACTGAAGTCGAGGCGCGTTTGCGGAACCTGCGTATTGGGCGGATAGCGACTGGTGCTAATCAGCTCTCTGTCCAGCAGGGCGGCGCAGGTGGACGATTCGTGGGAGGCGCACAAGTGCACCACCAGGAGCTCGGTGGAACTGGACACACGCAACAACAACAACTAAGGTCAATAATCCCTCAAGGCGTGTGCGTGCATGGTGCGAACACGAACGCTCCTCACTTCATGAGGAGGGTCACTCTCATGTTGACGGGCACAAAGGGACTGACGGGCACTTGGAAGACGAACCTGTCGGGTCTGAAGATGACAATCGGGCAACGGTAAGAAAGTTTTCCCTTTTGGCTCTTTCTGTGTTTGCCGCGCACTTACCCGCATTCGTCTCGCACGCAGTAACGGCTGTCGATCACCTGCTGGTTCTCTTTGATCATGAAGGACTGAATGCTTGTGTTGGTCCCTGTCACACCCACACACACATGCGCAGAATTTCATGCGTGTAGTCACACAGGCCCGCGCACCACCACGAACAGTCACGTGCACGCGTGTTGGGGGCGCCGCCGACGCAGCGTAAACAAGATGCGGTCCGACGTACAGTCTGTGGAGCTTTGAAGCCTCTGGAGCAAGTCGTCTGGGGTTTCCGCTGCAAACAAGCAAAGCGACATGAGGGCTTCGCCGTCACGCGCCGTCGGCCCGCAGCCGGCGCTCACCCGCTCCGTCGCCGGCTCGCGACGGGCCGGCCTCGACGCGGCGCCCGCTCCCCGTTGGCGAGGGGCAGCAGTACACGGTGTCGCAGTACAGCAGATCGCAGAAGTGCACGTCGGGGGGCCACGGCCCCGGGGGGACGATCGGCGGCGCTGTGACCCAGAAATGAGTTTGAAGCCAAAGACGTCACGGCCTCGGAATGTCTTGACAAGCAGTCGGGCGCGTTTTCATGTATCGCTGCACCCGCCGACGGGCCGATAGGTTTGCGCTTTGCGTGGTGCGCTAAGTGGATGCGCTTTGTGGCAGACGTGACATGATGCGCGTGGATTCGGCTGAGGAAGGAAGCCGCCTTACCTGAGCTGCCGCTGGCCGCCGTCGGCGCCGGAAGCACGCTGCTGTTGCTGACGCACACAAAAGCAAAAACAAATCACTCCGCTCAGGCCCGGGGGAAGGTAGACATTTTTTCCCTTCTTGGAAAAGCAACTGACGACGTTCAAGACCACTTGCTTCTTGATAGCAAACACTTTTTTTTTCTTTTTCCAAACATTCATTGATGTCTACTTTCACAGAAACCATCAACGACCACCACAAGTCGTCGGCACGTCGATGCTGAGTGAAGCAGAGCAAGTTCAATTTAGCAAGTAAGTGAAGTCGATGACATTTTTCTTTTACTTCTTCTTTGCGCATAAACCGACATCAACACAACAGTCTCCTCATTTCAATGCGGGAAGACAATTTGGGGACGCGTGCAAGACCACGTCACCGCCGAAGCCGGAATCTCAAGGCAGCGCTGCGGACCTGTCATCCGCGTGCAGTGAAAATTCAAAGTCCTCACCTGACACCGGAGGACGAGTCCACGTCGCCTTGCGTTGAGTTGAGCAGGTACAAGGCGCCCATGATGATGATGCTGACACACACACACACAGAGACAGACGGGGGATGTTGTCTGCTGTCTGAAGTGACTGATGTCATCTCAATTGGGACTCTCTAATGGAAGGGTTAGTTTTGCATTTCCCTTGGAAGAAGCAAATTGCGCTGCCTGTCGCGATACGACGCTGGCATCGATGGATGGATGAAGGAAGAGACATTGGCGTCGTCAAGAAATCAGACATTTTTGGCCAACGAGACTCATTGGCTGCGCAGTGATCGGAAAGTCACGTCGGGAAGTGACGTCCCTGCTTACCAGGCGGCGACGGCGAGGCACAGCGTCAGCACCCCGGCCCGGAGCATTTTCTGCGGCGCGCGGCCGTCGTCGTCGGCCTGGCCGGCTTTGGCGCGGGCCTCGAAACTCTGCGCCGCCACCGACGCGGCGCTGGGCTTCCTCGACGTCCTGTCGGGAGAAGGCGCGGAGCTTTTATGATATGAAGGGGCAACGAGGAAGAGAAGGCGGGGCAGGAGGAAGTACCCGGTGGAGCGCAGACTTCCCGTCAGGCTCTTCAACTTGGCCAGGCGTCGCTTCCAAAGCTCCAACTCGCTCACGCGTGTCTCCAGGCTGTCGGCCATCTTGGAGAGCTGCTGCACCGCCCCCACGTTCTCCATGAAGATCTGGTCCTGGACGACCGAGGGCGGAGGACAAAGAGGAGAAATCAGGGCGCCGGGAGGAGGAGATGCAAGTCGTACCTTGTCCACCACCAGGAAGTTGTTGATCTTGTGGCCGTCGTGGCACGTGATGTCGCCGACCTCCTTGACGGCCGAAGGGAGAAGCTCCTTCACCTCTTGAGCCAGCACGCCTGAAATGTCACACGCGGCTGGAGAAACAATCTCACCCGCAGACGGACAGTCACGGAACCGCCCGCGCCACCGCCGGCTCGGTGTTGACCTGTCCGGTGCGTGTGTTCGATGCCCATCTTGGAGGCAAACTCGGGCTTGTAGTCGAACTCCACCAGGCGCATTTGCGTGATCCTCCTCAGTTGCTCCTCGGCGTCCGCCTGCCAGGGCGAGTTGGTTTCTGTATTTGTTCTACAAGATGGCCCGCGGCGCCGCCGCCGCGTCACTTCCCGGCCGCACCTCTCGTATGTTGCACTTGGCGCGCCGGTCGGACGGCTGCATGACGCGGCCCATCACGGTGGCGTTGCCGCACACCACCAGCGCCTCGTCGGGGGCGTCCGTGTTGATGCCCACCCGACCGTGACACGCCACGGCGTCCGGCGCCGCCCCGCGCTGCCAAAGGCTGTCGCCGTCCATCTCGAACTGGCCCGGATTGGAAGCCTGCGCGCGTGACCCGGAGGGCGCGCGTGAGGAAAACCGCCCGAGGGAGTAGCGGCGGCGCCGCCCAGCCAACGCTTACCCGGACGATGAGCCTCTCGGACACGAGGGCGGCCAGGAGGAAGGACGACGACTCCTCATCGTCGTCTTGGTCTTTGACGGCGGCGTACAACCCCACCACCATCTGGAAATATCTGCGCACACGCCGTTAGCGCACGCGCTCTCAAACAAAACACAAACGGGCCAACCCACGGCTGACATGCACACGAGGTCAAAAGCATGCGCAAACACAAATGTTTGTGACAGGCCAAAAGCACCCAACCACGCACGCACAAACCCACGCGTGGCGGCCAGAGATCCCACCCCCCAACCCGGGGGACGTACCTCTGGTCGGGATTGGGCCGTCCCCTCTTTCTCATGTTGTTGGCGGTGGTCTCGCCGAAGTGAAGGCGTCCTAGCGTGACTTTGGTCATGGCGCCGCTCACCACGCTGACCCTGCGGGAATCGAGCCACGGTCAGCCACGGTCACGGCACACTGTGCAACCCCCCCCCCCCGCCTTTAAACCCACCTGACAGGCCGCAAAGGCCTCTTGGTGCGGTCAGGTTGAGACTGCTCCATGGGCACGCGATGCTCAGGAGATTCCATCTGGCGGGAACGCAAACGGCCATTAGCTTTGCGGGCTCCCCGCTGGGGCGCTAAGCTACCCGGAAGCTAACCTTGACCCCGAACACGTTGATGTCAAGGTGGTCCAGCTGGCGCACGCCACGCGGCGTTCTCACGTAGGAGGGCTCTGTGGCCACACCCACTTGGACCGTCACCTGGAAATGGTTCTTCTTCTGACACACGAAAGCCTCGTCGGCCGGCGAGAAGTTGAAGCCCTTGTCCGTGGACACCGCCAATAACGGAGGATGCCTGTCGGCACGGGACGTCGTCACGGTCGACCTGCGCACGTATAATTGCGCGCGGCCGCGCACTCGGTCGCGGCGAAGAGCGGGCGGCCGACTCACATGACGTGCGAGTTGGAGTCCAAGACGGCGTTCCAGTCAGCCGAACGGAAGGTCTCCCAGCTCAGGCGGCCGCCGGAAAGGGGTCCTCCTCGGGCGTCACCCCCGAGCGCAAGTCGGTCGGGTTCTGGCGACGAGCCGTGCGACTCGCTTCTTTTCCTTTTGTTTCGGTCGGGTGAGCTGGAGACAAACACCGAGACGCCGCTTCATCCGGTTTGGGGCTAACCAAGTTCCGCGTTGAAGGAGGCCATTCAAAACGGATGGCACTTGAGGGAAAAGCGGTCCGGACAATCATTTCGTTGACGGCACGATTCAAGATGGATGGACAAGTTGAAATCAACTGAGCTGTACTTGGAAAATGTCCCGGACTGGAAAGCAAGCGATGATGAGCCTTGCCATGCGGTGATTCTTTTGCCTGCCACTAGAGGGAGCCCGCATAGCGTGAGTGGTACTCATCCGAGCCTCGGAGACTCACTCACCAGTTTTGCGAGGCGGAGGCCGGCGCCCCCAAAGGCATCCGGCTGAGGCCGAAACACGAGTGCCGCGCGGTCGGCTCGGCCAGGTGCATCGGCGGGACCTCGGCGGGGATGGGCCCGCAGTGGATGGGCGGCTCGGACCAATAGGAAAGCTCCCTTTGGAAATCTGGCAGTCGGACGCCGCGCCGATGTTAGCCTCGGCGCTGCAGGGAGCGTGTGGTGGAAGGAGTGGGCGGGGCAAGGACTGACCTGGGATCCGCTCCGGTGAGCAGACGTCCGAGTCCGGAGGCGAGTCGGGAAGCGCGCTAGCCCGTATCCGGAAGACAAAAACACATCAAGGACGTTCACGTCCACGCACGTCGCCTCTTAAGACGCGCACGCGTGCGAAGCGGCTCACGCAAACAGTCAAGTCACTCACAAAGCGTTGAAGTCGCTGCTGAGGTACTGCTCCAGGATGCTGGTATCCATGGCAACCGAACTGTCCAGAACGTCGCGACCTGCGCGTCATCACGTCACCGTCAGCGGACGACCTTGACGGCTCTCGTTGACTTTCAAACGCTTTCGCTCCAAATTCCCAACGGCCGTTTTTCCATTTTGTTTGCAATTCCAAGGATTTCCGCGTGTTTGCGCCTTTCCGTGACGACTCGGGTCTCCGTATCTCTGTTGCAAGCGGGCTCTTCGCAGAAGGACCTTCCGGCCACGTCAGCAGCACTTTGCGACAGAGGGAGACCGGCCGAGCCGCGGAAAGGCCCCGCGATAAATGCCGACCCAGCGCGTCACGGTGGCCGGTTGCTTTTGAGCCGACCTGGAAAGTTTCATGCTGAACTTCCACCCCACGGCGCCCAAACGTTTTGGATCGGAAAGGCATGCGTGTGATGTCTTGCGTGTGCCGCTCACCGCGGAAGAACTGCCGCAGCGCCTCCGTCTCGCCGTGCACAGCCGCAGACTCCATCGTGGCCAGCAGGTAGCGCTGAGGAGGAGCACATGAAAAAAGGCCTCACTTCTGCTGGAGGAAGGTTGCTAGGCAACACACACAGTTGTGGGAGTCCTTGTATGTGTGACACGATCCACTTCACACACACACACACACACACACACACACACACACACACACACACACTAATGTGAGTGAGACTTGGACATGATTGTTCTGGCTCACCCGCCTTTCGCTCCAAAATGGCCGATTGTCCCGCGCCGCCGTCCTCCGTCAGTCGGATCAGTCGTCCCGCTCGGTGCGGGCTCCGACCCGTTAGCGGATTTGGACGTCCATCTTCGGACCCTGACGCGCTTTCTTCTTGTGTTTCAGGAAATGTGGCCGTTTGAGAAGCGTCCGAAATGTTTTTTTTTCTCCGGCCGTGTGGCTTCTGTCTGGTTTGTGTCAGCTGAACTTTGAGCTTTGAACAGGAAGAAGGCGTGTTACTCACCTGCGCGTGTGGGTGTGCGCGGTGATCATTGTTCATTTGAAACGCATTTGTATGGTCACCGGAGCTCGGGTGGGCCGCAGTCTTTCCCAGCTCATTGAACTGAATTGAATTGGGGTGAGAAGTGAGTTGCGCCCTGGACTGGTCACCGGTCACTGTCAGGTCACATCGAGACACAAAGTGGACTGTTCGCCAGTTCGTGACAAAGAAACAAACCGCCATTTACACCAAAGGCCGATTTCCGGTCTTCATCCGGTGGTATTGCCTTGACTTGCGCGGTTTTGTTTGTTCCCCGTTACGAGCAATCGCTTTCTTCTTGAGACGTGAGTGCGTCTCAGACCCCCGCCGCGAGATGGCGCCAGCAACCTTCCCCACCACCAAGTTGCGGTGGTTTCCTTGCACCGAAGGACAAGATCAATTCGTGGCGCTCGTCAGCTATTCATAGGTTTTGCCAATCAACACAAGGGAAGGGGGGGGGGGTGGGTGCGTCG